AAAGAGTTCCTTGATGGGATGGGTTTCCTTTCCTGTACCCTCTGGGTGTGTCTACACTGCACCCTGAGGTGGGGTTGCAGCACAGATCATCTCCCTAGCAGTGGGAAGGCAGCAACACTGACTTCAGTTCAGGCTGTGGAAGCCTGCAGCGGGCCCTGGGTATGTAGTTGAGTTGCTACCCCACCCTGAAGTCCTGCCACCATGTTTTCCTGCTGCTGTTTTCCTACCTATCCATGCTAGGTAGGTTAGAGCCAGCCTCAGGGTGCCTATAGGTACTGCAGTAACACCTTTACTGGCTATGCAGACAAAGAGGTGGACTGAAACAGCAGTATCAGTCAGAAGTCTGAACCTAGAGAGGATCTTTGTTATGGCATGCTTTTCTAGTGGAAGGAACACCTAAGCAGGTTTACTGTGCTCATTTCTGTATTGCTTGGGAACTGAATGTAGACTTTCATTAATGTCTTCCTTCCTCTCTTTCTTTCTCCTCTGTATTTTTCTCTCAACTCTACAAATTAAAAAAACTAACCAACTAAAAACCCTGGTAACCACCTCCTGTCTGTAGCCGTTTATCACCTACGGTTGCACTGAAGGCTCCCTTCGCATCAGTCTATAACCCTCTACAGCTGCAGGCCTCTGCATCTCCATTGCAGCGGAGGCACAGCACCTCCTCCATCCCAAGCCAAGTTCGAGTGGGGCCTGAACGGCTGAAGGAAGCCGCCCAAATCTGCCCCAACAGCCCTGTGGAAGTGGAGGTGCCAGGACTCAAAGTGCTGCATGTGCAGTTTAATTCTCCCCTGCAGCTATATTCACAGAAAAACATCCTGGATACTTTACAAGGGCAGATCTCTTCCATTAGCCCGACTTTTCTCAGGTAATATTTGCCTGCTGCCCATGTGGCTGACTAGACACGCGTGCCACCCTTCACATCTTGGTCTTCACAAATGATTCATACTTGTCCGTTGCTCACGGTGTTGGCCTGTCACGCAGACTAAGTGTTACATCTCACCTTTGAAACTTAGCGCATGACTCTTCACAGAAGGGCCCTTGCCATCGTGTGTCATACACCACATGAAGCACCAGTGTGTGCCAGATCAGTCTGGCACTGTCATTTCATGTTTTACACACACAACCATAATGGTGAAATCAACAGAAGTGGTTGGTGGACCTGGCAGAGTGATTGTTTTGCACGTGCTGGTTCAGTGGTAGGGGAGCGGGGTGGAACATGTGCCTCCAGGAAATGGTATTTCTTCTGGATTTACCCAACCACAAGGGTAAGTGTAGAACCTTTCACCCCTTCTCCTGAGTTTGCCAGTGGCTGGAAATCTCTGCTGTCTGTCAGCTGGGAAGTGGCTTAGGTGAAATAAATCATGAGCCATGGGCCAGGTTGTTTATGTGCATCAAGACGTGCAAAGGAAGTTGAGGCCATTTATTAAGATAAGTTGATCTGACCTCTGGCAACAACAGCTTGCTCCTCCCCAGAGCTTGCCTCTTAGTCAGGTATTACCCTGTATTCTGGAGCAGTATGCCCTAGTGTATAGAGTTTTGACTCCTGGCTGTTTCCCCATCTGTAAGAGGAATGGAGAAAGATGTTTATCACCTTTGGTCAGTGTTTGGGGGCCTAGAAATGAAAGCCCATTTAAATATCATATTAGCTTACAGCAACCTGTAAGGATCCTGGGCAATTCCTAATGTTGGCCCTAGCACTGTATCTCAGGGTCTTGCTTCTGAGTTACCCTAAATCTTTGTGGCCACCGTGTGTCAAAGACAAGCCATCCTGTTGTTCAGCATGCACAGCTTTGGAATTGTGGTGCTGGGACCTAGGTCTGACCGTCACAGACACCCTGGTAGAACAGTTGAGAAGCCAGATCCTTTCAAATGAGTTGGACATCTGAAATGGTTTCACCTCTTCATTGTTGGAACAAAATAGTTTGCCCCTGTTTCAGTGTATAGTACATTGAACATGCCACTGTGTCCAGGTTCATTCCCTTCTATTGGATGAACTAGAACTGCATGACCGCACCTCATTGGTCTTATTCTGCTGACCATCATGTCTGTTCAACTGGCAGGGGCCTTTTCCTTTTGGAGCAGAAGAGTTCTTGCCCCACAGTCACTGTAAAGATGCATGCACCCAAATGCTGTGGTAGAACAACAGCTGCAAAAGTGTGGGCAGCCCTAGATTTATTACAGTAGAATTGGGGACATAAATTGCTCATGGTAAGTCACTTTTCTGGCTTGTTTTGCATAATTCTGGAACAGTAATACATCATTAGTTCTCTTGGCAGTTCCAGGCCACTGGATAATGTGACAGAAAACCCTAAGTGGTCTCAACTAACTTTGTAGCAGAAGTTTAGTGTCAGTTGTATTAAGCAGTGTCTCTAGGACCTTAGTTACCTTTGCATATTGTGTCACAGTATGATAATCCCAGTGTTAATCAAAACTAGGTCGCGCTTATCAAAATACACTTTGTGACACTGCAGGTATGTCTATGCACGTGCATTTAGTGAGCAGTAACTGAAATTACTGCATAGTACGGGTGTGCATCTACACATGCACACCTGTATTGTGCAGTAAATATGGTGATTTACGCTGACTTGAGTGTAAATTTGATATCTACATTATGCAGGTATCAAATTTATACCTGGTTAGTTACTGCGTAGTAACACATGTGTAGATGCCTTACTACACAGTAACACTGCATGTGTGGACTGACCTGGGACTAAAGTTACACACAGCATTAATGCGCTTTAATGCCTGCTTGTGTAGACGCTGGCCTATTCCCACTAAATTCAAGCCAGTGTAAATGCACATGTAGACACGACCTGTATCTTGTAGGCTTTTATTATTCTGGCTGCTTTCTTGCTAATTTTCAAAGTTTATTGTTTCAGCTAGTTGCTATCATGAACTAATAAGGTTCTGCTGTCCTCTTTTTGGAACTATGAAATCCCCACAAAAGGAAGTTGGAGTAGTCTTTTACAAAACAGTTGTCTCTATGGGCTCTTATTCCTAATATAAGTCAAGAAGTATCTACCTGTCATTTTGTCTCACAATCAATGCGTACCCTCTTCTGAGAACACACATGAAATTATTTTTGTTCTGTTGTTAATGTCTCATTTTCTTTAACTCCCCCCAACACCCTCCCCACCCCACAAAACAAGTAAGTATCACTGCTTATCACTGAAGGTCTGAGTTGTACAGTTTTGTGCATTGTCACAGTGCATGGTTAAAATGCTCTGTGTTTGTTTTGACTCAAATGTTCCTGAAGACAATTTTGTGTTGGCTTTTTCTGTTCACATGACTAAATAACCTTAGCCCTCCAGATGGGCATCAGTCCAGTATTTTGAAAGGTGGGACAGGCAGTGGGAGATCTTCAGGTTGCAATTTACATGATTTAAATATAATGGGGGCATGGGATAATCTGGGGAATTTTCTGTATAACAGATATCTTGTCCTGAATATGAGTTCCAGGTAAATGTGACACATTTGAAAAGTTCATATATATGTGTGTACATGTGGGTGTCTACTGAATGTTGTACCATGGATTCACCCCATAATATTATACCAGGATAGACCTGTTTTATGAGACTCTTGGATGGTAATGTGGATTATAACATTTGCAATCAGTTTACCTCTAGTGCTTGTAGTATTTCAGATGCCATATAACCCCTGGATGACTTGTATACACATTGGCATGGAAATACATAGTTGTATCATCGTCATGAAAAAGATTTTCCTCTGCAAATTAGTCTGAAGTTCAGGATGTTTCTATGCAATGCAGGCAATTCCTGAATGCAAGAATGATGCTTTTTCCTCACCAACCATTTAAATTTAATTATACTTTATGTGACCTAGCATTCACAAAGACTGTTTGTCAAATGTCCCATTCTTTTCAGCTTTGATCTTGGGTAATGTTTCCAATTGCATTTTTAAGATGCTTTATTTGACATAAATGCCTTTTATATTTGAGCTCCAGTGTGGTTTCTATTCAAGCAGTGTGTGCTGAGTAGAGTGTACTTCTCACTAGGAAGGTAATAAAACACTGGAACAGGTTACCCAAAGAGATTGTGGAATCTCCTTGCTTGGAGGTTTTGAAGACCCAGCTAGACAAAGCTTTGGTTGGGAAAGCTTTGGTTGGCAAAGCGCAGGCTCAGGGGTGATCTGATGGCCACCTATAAGTTTATCAGGGGTGACCACCAGTATCTGGGGGAACATTTGTTCACCAGAGCGCCCCAAGGGATGACGACTAGGTTGAATGGTCATAAACTACTACAAGACCATTTCAGGCTGGACATAAGGAAGAATTTCTTTACTGTCCGAGCCCCCAAGGTCTGGAACAGCCTGCCACCGGAGTTGGTTCAAGCGCCTACATTGAACACCTTCAAGATGAAACTGGATGCTTATCTTGCTGGGATCCTATGACCCCAGCTGACTTCCTGCCCTTTGGGCGGGGGGCTGGACTCGATGATCTTCCGAGGTCCCTTCCAGCCCTAATGTCTATGAAATCTATGGATGATCTAGTTGGGGGTGGTCCTGCTGTGAGCAGGGTGTTGGACTAGATGACCTCCTGACGTCCTTTCAACCCTAATTTTGTATGATTCTATGAGTATTTGCAGTACACGAATGAGAACAGAAATGTGAAGGTAGGAGGTGGGGTTGAGTAGATGAATCCGGAACATAGGCATCAGGAAGTGAAACTTTATTTCTGAATCTGCCACTGGCTTGCTTTGTAACCTTGGGCAAATTGTCTAAGTGGTTTGTGCCTTAATGTCCCCATTGTAAAATGGAAATGTTAACTTTCACTTTAAAAAATAGCACTTTGAGCTTGATCTCTTGGAGTAGCTGGTGCCAGGTCAGGCCTTGCCTGCCTTCGTGTTCCAAGACATTGGGCAGCCCTTATTGCAGTGAGTCAAGCCATTTTTTTGGTAGGAAGAGTCACGATCCCCATTGCATTGAAGCTTAAACTCGGTTTATATTGTGAAGCCCAATTTTAACTTTACATTTTCTCCCTCATTCTTAAAATAAACTTTCTCGCCATGCTCTGTTCTCTGCCTATGTGAAAGAGAAAGCCATGTAGCCTTCCCTCAAAGGGGCTGAGGAAACTCTGAGGGCAGCCTGATCCTCTGTAGCACCGAAGGCCATTATTTTTCAGTAGAACTATAATTTCCCAGAAAGTAACTATTAGTTCTTTAATTGAATTGCAGCACTGCCTGGAGCAGGAGTGGGCAAATAGGGAGCCTTCAGAAAAAATGCACTGAGGAATGATGGCAATCCTTCAGAAATGGGAAGCTCTAATAGGCCTCGCATAGGCTAGCCTCACCTATAATTGCAGCTTTCGTATGCAAACACAGCTAGCACTGCCAGTGTTTTATGGCACAAGCACGTATGTGTGCATGTGCATATGTGTGAGCACTTAGAAATATTACATTATGATACATCTGTACGTCGGCAATAGTGTCACTTTAATCATCACTCATTTATCATATGTGTGTGTTAAATTCTCCTCAGCTTAGAGCAACCTCATCAGCCATCAAGTAACATTGTCATAGACAAGGAGTCAGAGGTGTACAAGATGCTGCAGGAGAACCAAGAGGCAAATGAGCCACCCAGACAATCTGCTTCCTTCCTGGTATTGCAAGAAATTTTGGAATCTGAAGAGACAGGTAAGCAGTTACTGCGTTGTCAGTCTGGCTGGCCTGCTCATTGCCCTAATGTGACCTGTAGGATATACTTTATGGTTAATAACCACAACAAAAGCCTATGACACTCTTCTTCCTCAAAATATGGTTGTTTAAAGTGGTATTTGCATATTTTCAAAGAAACTAACAGTTTCTTTCTTAACTTCTGCACCACATGATATACTTTTCATATAGTTCCTCTCTATATGTGCCTATTATTTCTAACTTTTACTTCATGGACATTATGCTGACAGACACTAAGGTGAAAAAATACCAGGAAGTAATCCCCAGAAAATTTAGGGAATGCTGAAGACCAGATTTCATCATTTTACATTAAGAGTTGATTTTTTAGTTGTGATACTATAGAAGGAAGGTACCGTAAAAGAGCAATCTTCCTATGCATCCTAAAGGGTTTAGTTTTCATTTCTATGCAAGGAAAGGGGAGAAAATCAGGTTCAGTTACAGTGGAAAAGCAGCTAAGTAGAAAATCTGAGTTATGGCCAGAAGTTAGAAATTTTTAGCTAGACATTTTTAAACTTCTGAAATGCCATCTGGCCTTCACTGGGCTGGTCTATGCCTATACTTAGGTGACTTCCAAGTCAGAATTGTGTTTTCTTTTAAGAAGTTAGAGAAACAAAAAACTTGAGTAAGAAAGGAAACATGGTGTTGAATGTTTCTGCGATGCCCATTAAAACCTTCTTTTTTAAACTAAGCTGTACGGTGGCGTATTTAAGTTTGTGTATGTTAGCCTGAAAGTGAAACAGATCAAGCAAACTCCATTGTTTAAATTAAGTAATCTGCACATAGAAGCAAATTAGATTCTTACATTCTTTTGCCTTAATTCAAGATAAATTCTCATGGCTGTGGTGTAAAGAGGGACGCTGTAATTAGGATACAGGTTTTTAACGTGTTGCTGGGAGTTCTGCCTGTTTGTGGGAGAGAACTGATTTGTCTGGATCTCTCATTTCTTTTGTTAACTACAAAGCCAGTATCCACCCCTTGCTCAGTAGCACTGAAGAAGATAAGAGGCAAATGCCTCTTTACTTTATTTTTTTAAGGATTTGTAGCATTCCTGGAACCCCCCGGCCTGAGATTTGCCTGTTTGATAAAGAGTCAAAAGTGGCCTTTTGCTTGGTTTCATCTTGAGCTGATTACTGCTGGTACTCAGCAAGAGTGGAAAAGTTATGCAGACCTGGAAGAATGTTTATTGCCAAGAACATGCTTCCCCTAAAGCACATCACCCAGGCTCTGGCATTCCAGCTCAGATGTTTGATGCTGCATAATCAGATAATATTTGCAGTGGTAAACTCATTGTTTATCATTGTAAACACTGAAGGATACTATGGCTTGTAAGCAGCAAATGAGCCAGATCCCCAGCTGGCGTAAGTCATGTCTTACAGCTCCACTGGCCTTACTAGCTGTGCTAATTTACCCTAGCAGAGAGCCTAACCTATTGCTTGGGATCGTTATTAACCTTGGAATGTGGATGTTGTTAATAATGTTTGAAATAACACCGCCCCTCTGTATTTTGACTCGCATCTCTCGCCATTCTTAGAATTGGCTTGGGGGGAAGGGGGTAGCAGGATTAACTTTCATGTAAAAGGCCTTGATCATTTATTACATTGCTTTTGGGTTTATTTTGCTAAAAACAATTAACTAAAAATATCTTTGAAATGTGCAAATGTGAGCCAGTTCCTGAGCATCTTTTCTGTGTGCTCCTTCTTGATTGAACATTAGGAGAGATGCTGGAGGAAGCAACAAGAATTACATTAAGGGAGGCACGCCAGTGTCTTCTTGACTTGGAGGTGGTGCTAGATCTTTCTTGGCATGTGGTGAGGCCTGTACTGCTTTGCCAGACTTCTCTTGTTGCAAACATGAACATTAACGAATTGCCCTGCTGCAGAGTGGGGTTCTCACTGCTGCAAGATAATCCAGTAATGTGCTGAAGGATTAACTCTACTAGCACAAGCTCTGTTTCTTTTTTCCTGGTACACTGCATCAGCATCAAGGGTTGGTACCTTCGTTGCTTCATTGATGCAGTTACATCACTATGAAAGTCCTTGTGGTAGATAAGAGCTGTGCTAGCCTGCTGGCCTTAAGGCAGTATTGAAAGGCAGAGCTGTGGTACCTACAGGCAGACTAGTGCAACCTCAGTCTTGTACAGCATGGTTGGCATACTCCAGCCTTTCTCTCTGCCACTGAGGCATGGCTGGCAACTGCACAACAGACCTAGCTTCCTCCTCTATTATCTCCTCAATGTTGAAGAGGCAGGGTTGTAACATGATTTGTCTCTGACTTTATTGCTGTTTCTGTGGGTTATTCCCCTGATAAGGCTGTGTGCAGGCCACACTCCTGTTTGAGTAACACAGGAGTCAGAAAGCTGCAGGGGTGTCACCTCCCCTCCCTTTCCTGTCTGCACTAAAACAGATTGCTGGAGGGCAAGCTTATTCTATCTTGACCAAAAACCTCTTTCTCCAATCCTTCTTTGCTGCCACAGTGTATTGAGTGTTCTTTGTAATTCACTTTCTTTTCTATCCATGTAGAAATATAAAAATATTTTTAGAGAAGCTGTTACTTTTTAAAAGAGCTCTAAAGCACCTTCATATTGATGCTTGTGTAAACTAGGCTTCTTAGGTTTTTAAGGTCAGATCATCTGGTCCAGTTCTCCTCAAATGATTTGGGGTCATGTGTCCCTTTTAAAACATGTGATATTGCTCTGTATCACTTTGATGTCATGTTACAGATAGTCCCAGCACCCTGTAACCTCTCCCACAACTTACAGACTATTTTTTTTTTATCCCTTTTCTTCCTTTTTGACCATTTATATTTCCCCTTTCCTTTCTACTACTTTCCTATTCCTCCTTCTGGTAGATCTTGTAGAAGTTTGGCACATATCCTGGGGGGCTACATGCTCCAGTTTGATAATCACCAACCTAGTCTAATCTTTCAT